CTGCTAAATGCAAATTGTTCCGAAAGGAAGTGACTTACCTGGGACATGTCATCTCTGCAGAAGGTGTGCGCACGGATCCTGAAAAGGTATCAGCGTTAAATCCTGGAAACGTCCCGAAAATGTCCATCAGCTGAGAAGCTTCCTAGGGCTTTGCACCTACTATAGGAGATTCGTGAAGGACTTTTCTTCCATCGCAAGACCCCTTCACAAGCTGACAGAGAGCAAACCAAAAAGTTCTTGTGGACAAAAGGAATGCGAGGATGCATTTAACAACTTAAAGGAGCTTTAACATCTGCTCCAATCCTGACGTATCCTCAGCTCGACAGACCATTTATTCTCGACACGGACGCGAGCAATGAAAGTGTCGGTGCTGTTTTGTCCCAAGAAATAGACGGCCAAGAACGTGTAGTGGCTTACTGGAGCAAGTGCCTGTCTAAACCGGAGAGGAATTACTGTGTCACCAGGAAAGAGTTGCTCGCCATAGTCAAAGCCGTAGAACATTTCCATCATTATCTATACGGCAGAAAATTCCTGCTCCGCACGATCATGCATCATTGACCTGGCTTTTAAATTTCAAGAATCCTGAGGGTCAAATAGCCAGGTGGATACAGAGACTCCAAGGAATATCATCCGTCATCGTAAGGGGATCATCACACGGAAACGCCGACTGCCTGTCTAGGAGGCCTTGCCCAGAAAGCTGCCGATATTGTTCCAGGGTGGAAGCGAAATACGAGCTGCTGACTCCGGTCGCAAGACAAATTACAACATCAACATCGGCTGATCGAGACCCGTGGAGTGATGATGAAGTCAGGAAAGACCAGCAGGAAGACCGTGACATTAAACCCATAATTGATTTAATGGAGTCATCAAACAGAAAACCTACCTGGCAGGACATTTCTATCTGTAGTCCTACAACAAAACAATACTGGGCACTCTGGGATTCACTTCACATTCGAAACGGCGTCTTATACCGGAAATTCGAATCGGATGATGGGAAGACGTTCCGATGGCAACTGATACTTCCAAGATCCCGGATTCCTGATGTCCTTAAAGAACTACATAACAGCCCTACAGGAGGTCACTTTGGAATAATGAAGACCTTGCAGAGAGTTCGTGAGCGCTTTTACTGGAATAATGCAAAGGATGACGTGCAAAAGTGGTGCCGATCTTGCGATGCCTGTGCAGGTCGGAAAGGACAGAGGAAACGCAGCCGAGGCAAGCTGCAACGTTACAACGTAGGTGCGCCTTTTGAACGTATCGCCTTTGACATCTTGGGACCTCTGCCACGAACTGCTGATGGCAACAAATACACATACTCGTTGTCATAGATTACTTCACCAAGTGGCCTGAAGCGTTCACCAAATGGCCATATTCTTGATTAAGAGGCTATCACATTAGCTAAGATGATGATACAGCACTGGGTTCGGAGTGCCTCTGCAGTTACATTCCGATCAGGGAAAGAAATTTTCCTCGGCAGTAATCAAAGAACTATGCAAACTACTCAGCATTGACAAAACTCAAACGACGCCATTACATCTCCAGTCGGACGGCATATTAGAGACGTTCAATCGAACCATCCTTAATAAAACTCTCATTAGTGGTTTCCAGAAACCAACAGGACTGGGACAAGAAATTACCACTGTTTTTACTGGCTTACCGCAGTGCTGTCCACGAGACTACCGGCTATTCTCCATCACAGATGCTCTTCGGTCGTGACCTTCGTCTGCCTTGTGATCTATTGTTTGGTCGCCCTCCGGATGCTCCTTCATCGTCTGAGGAATATATTCAAGATCTCCAGGCCCGGTTTGAAGTGATGCACTTTGCACGAGAGCGAGTCAACTTGGCGACGGAGAAGATGAAGACCCGATACGACACAAGAGCTACTGAACATCAATTCCACGAAGGAGACAAGGTGTGGTTGTGGAATCCGACTCGACGGAAAGGACTTTGTCCGAAATTACAGTCACCTTGGGATGGTCCGTACACAGTCCTAAACAGGCTGAATGACGTCGTGGTTCGGATTCGTAAGTCTTCGAACTCTAAACCTAAAGTCGTTCATTACGACAGGTTAGCTCATTACTATGGCCATAGTACGTAATGTAAATAATTGTAAATAGTGTAAGACCATGGTTCTTTTTGTTTCTAAATGTGCATTTGATTTTATTTCTATTTAGTGTTTGATAGCATTTGATTTGTATTTAGTATTTGATATGATTGATTGCATTTATTGTTCATGTTTTTTTGTTATTGTAATGTAATGTTTATTATTGCATTTATGCCTTTAGTTGTAAGTTTGGTTTCCTGTCCAGGTTTTGTACTGCCCGGGACGTGCAGCCCTTGGGAAGGGGCTAGTGTTACAGATTTTGTATTTAAATAGTTAATGTTAGTTGAGTTATAAATTAAATTGTTTTATTCTCCGTGCAATGCAGCGCGTGATGAATATTAAAGGAAAGCTAAGCCGGAAAATTAAAAATACAAGAGCACGTCCATTTTACATATAATAAATATCTCTTTTTGATTGAGAAAGTTCCAGAAATTTCTCGCGAGCGATTTAAAATCTTATAAAAAGGAGGAAAACCTCTCAATTCGATGATTCTTGTTAGTTTGTTGTTGTTTTAAGAGTTTGTTTAGAAAACTGTTCTTATTGACTGTAACGAATTCGCGGATTAGCTTTCTTTAGCTGTTTTGAATTAAGTTCTCTTGAACGTTTGAGTAGTTAAAAGATAACTACTGTGAGGTGTTGTAATACTGCACGAATATCTGAAGAGATTAAGTGATAATAATAAATTTTGTTCATTTTTCATCGGACTTGTGCATTCATTTCGTAGCGAACCCGTACGCACGCAACAATATGGATTTAGAAAGGTACAACGAGGAAATAAACACATGTATACAGGAAAACACAACTAAGATTTAAACAGGAAGTGGTGACCGAATCTACTCAATCAAGATATTCTTCCATGATTGGCTACACTTTAGATCTTAATTCTAGAAGATATGATAGTCTATCATTATGTAGCTTAGGTCTAGTTTCTATGAGAGTTTTGATTTTGCGCCTTAGACTGAAAGCCCTCTTAGGACATAGTGCTTCTGTTGACATAATACTTTATAACTATCCATGCTATCTGCACTCGAGATTTGATATAGGTACTATCATTACAAATATGTACCTGAGAAATAGTTGATACGGACTTAAAGTATGTATCCTGCGGAGGGAGGGGGGGAAGAAAAAGAAACCGTTCTATAGCTCCCGTTCTACTGGGTCAATTGACGAAATTCAAATTGCGCTTTTCATGTCTCGAAATCGCGACTTAGGATATATATTAGATTTATATATTGCATTGTTCTAACATAGGTATTTTGACGAGCTGACAGAAACAGATTTTCCCAAATGCATTAAGTAAAGTTCTACTTTCCTTATATTAAAATCAAAACACAGGGGAAAATATTATGCCACCTACGGCCAAATTGCACTTGCAGATTTCTTTTGCGACGTTCTTGAAAAAAATTATTATCCTACATATCCCATATTTATATATATAAAAGGGGTTTCAAGGAAAGTAGGCTGACTGTAGAAAATACCATGCATTTAAAAAAAGATTATTTGAAATGTCTTCATGATAACACGTATGAAACGCGTATATATTCATTAAGAGGCATTTGACAGAACCTGAATGTGCGAAATGCAGGACAAAGGCTGGCTCCAGAATTAATGAAACAGATGGAAATTAGAGGCAGCAAAAATGTATAGCATTTAGGGAGGCACAGAGCAGCAGAATAGGAAGCGCAGAGATTACACAGGCGAGCAAAACATCTAGCACCGGCTTTCTGCAGGGCTACATGTAGTGCAGTTAATTTGCATGCTAAGCCTCTAATTTTTTTACGGAACGTTTAAATACTCAGGACATTCCAAGCAAAAATAGGTTCTGCGCTGTCTGACGTTTTTATTTAAGAATTGAATAAACCAGAGAGATGTGTGCTGAGTGTTTGACATTTTTGCCTTAAAAATAAATTCCAGTTTAACAGAAAATCTTTTAATATAGATGGAGCATTCCATTATGGTGATCTTTAGCTGTTAAAGCTTAGACTTTCAATGCACAAAAATGTGCTTAACAATGTTTGCGAGAGTGCTTGATATCATTTACAGGGTAAATACCCAATGCTTCTCAATTTCATCACCATTTATGTTAAAAAGCACACCTACACATCATTCTTAGCTCTATTTTCACACCTCTTTTTGTTGTACTTCATATTTATTTTCATACTTTTTTTATACTGTATACTTCAGTAGTACTTTTATACTACATACTTCAGTAGTAATATTTTATTATATACATGTGACTTTTAATTTAAAAAATGAGCTATCTAGCTTTTATCTGAAATGAAAATCTATCTGAGTAAATTTATATCCGTTTCGCGGAATTTTCATGGCAGTATATTTTAACAGTTTTCATTTCGGGTACCAGCGTAGAGATGAACTGTTTTATTAAGAAATTTAGAGTTTGACGATCAACTTCGCCGCAACGTGTTTTTCGATTTACGGCAAGATAATATAAGATTTTATGAAATTTAGCTACATGCCATAAATAGATGGGACTTGATTGGGAAGTTCTTCTACTCTTTATACTGTCCAGACTTTGTAGTAATAGATTGCCACAAATGCCTGTCTTTTGTATTAATCAACTATGGTTTTATTACAAAGTATCAATACACATAGCATGCTAAGACGGGCAGAAAGTTTTCAGTGACTCAATGTTAAAATGTAATATCTAAACTTTAATCCCTTTAAAAGGTTTTCCTTAAGTCATTGCTAAAAACTGAATATCCGCAGAGAATAAATTCGCTTAAAATGACAGTGTCTACATAATTCACAGATCCCTGATGTCCTTTGTGTTTATCGAAAGAAGATCCATTGCACCCACATACTACGCGAGTTTCTTGTGTACAATGTTGCCTAGATTTGTCGATATTAGCATGTTGAAGACACTTTTTTTAATAGTCTCAAATTTTATTACAGTTTGGAAGTCAAGGAAGATCAGCTGTCTTCATGTACACAATAAAGGCAGCTTTCAGGCTGTATCAAGTTGTGCCCCAGAAATTAATCACATGGATGACGCCTGTAGTTCCCGTATGGGAGAATTACCTCCGGTAACAAGCAAATCTTCTGGTGTGACATATGCCAATATATTCTGTGCTTTTTGCAACGGAGATTATGATTTGCAGTACTGGGATGTTGAATACAGGTAAGACAGTTTGTTTGAAAACTTCTCTGGAAATCACTGACTAGTCTTAAATATGTACAGTTTTATAAAAAAACGCTGCTGTTTACTTATATTCTTCATTTAATTTACAAACGGTGTAGCGACATTAGGTTACTTCGAAGCAAGATACATAAAAAATGAGCAATGCCCTCGCCGGGACTCGAACCTCGGACCTCTCGAAGACGCGCCAGGTGTGCTGACCATTACACCACGAAGACCTGCTAAGAAAGCGGGAGAAATACCTTATAACGGAAATAATTATCTGGAAAAGTAATTTTGTGCACTGACTTCACTGATTTCTTTTCAGTTAACTGATAAAAATAAATAAGAAGCGACAGCAAATAATTTAAACTTTTAGTCAGATATAAGAAAATGAAGAGCAATAAATGAATAACAGCAAATAATTTTGTAGTAACTGTTTAACTACCATGCAATCTTAGCTTCCTCTATTTATAATATCCTAATTATTCCCATAATTATTTCCTTTATCTGTTCTTCATTAACCATCTCAGCATACGATTTAGAATTTTTCGATTAACGGTAAAATGTAAAAAACATTTCAGACGAAAGGAATGCACGTAATGGAAGTAAAACATATACATTTAATGATTGTAACTGACATCATTGAAACACAAAAATACAGTAACATAGCACTGCTATTCTTTTGGGCATTTTTAATGAACTTCTTTCTCAGTTTACTACATTTCCTATTCAGAAATGGTGTACACTGTGCAGTTTTCTCCTACCGATTTTCAAAATGTAAAATTAGAAGAGAAAGTTCGGGATATGTGAGTAAATACGGTAGCACAGAGATAAAGTATTTTTAAAACAATCAACACAGTATGATAAATCCCTTTATTATAGCTCTATGAAATATAAAAAAAATGCTTAAATTCTTAATAATTGCAAATGAGTAATCATGAGTAAATAACCTTTGAATATCCTACATTTTTTTATTCTTAGTCAGGCCAAGAGGCCCACCAGCACCCAAGCAGTAAAGTCGCTAAACACTGGTAGTTCGGTCCGAAGTTCGAATCCCGAGAACGGGGTAGCTGCATTTGCGATTTCGTGGTTTTGCCCATGTATAAGGTGTATACGAACCAGTTTTTCTTAGAAAGTCCTCCATAAAATCATCCTTCTTTCTGGCATGTAGCCCTAGGGGATTAATGGCCTTAGTGGGCTTTGCCGTAATCTCAATAAATTAAATCTACTTAGTCAGGCTAAAACTAAATAATTTATATTATGTAATATAGTAATGCTATTTGAAAAATGAAATATATTATTAAATTTGCTTAAAAATTTATAACTGTACATATAAAGGACTTAGACATTGTATTAATACTGCATTGATAAAGTACTTAGCTAAATCTCTTGGGTTTTATATGTTATAAGGAGTATAAAAGTTTCTAAATAAAAGTTTAGAGGCTGAAGAAATGCATAAAAAGTTATATTTAGTATTTCATACAAAACTATTGTTTCTTATTTTAATATTACCAAAATATGAATACTTGTGTCGCTAAAACATTTTTGTAATTGGAAATATGTGTTTACGACCAGCGGTTGCTAAAATAAACGTCGGTAAGAAGTTCTGTGGACGCGGAGTATGATATTTGAATGTAATGTACAAGTTATTCCCTCAAAGTGTTAAATACCTAAGAAACACGTTTACTGAAATAAAACAGAGAAGTGAGAAATAACAGAAAATAATGGTTTTGAACCTACTTAATTCAATAGTTGAACTATTGATAGATTCAATAGTTGAACCTACTTAATTCAATATTCAAAGAAAGTTAAAATATAAACAATAAAATTCCTGTGGATTCTGCACATTCTAGAGTAAAATTTTTATATTTTTTATAATATCAAGACATATTTCATTTAATAAAAGTACTAATAATAGGAAACACGTAAAGAAGTGAAATTTTTGTTTAGTTTTAGAAAGAACATTTAATTTTTATACACCTGAAATGGTTAATGAAATAAAAATATTTGTGGACTGCAATAAATTCGTGTTATTAGTAACTAAAGTCATTGCATTGTTTGGAAACATTCCGCATATTTTCTGCGTAAAACTAAATGATTCCTCAAAAGGAACCTATAAGATATTTTCTCTCTCCTTTCTGCATGATTTCTTGGTGTAACGGTAGCACACCAGGTGTGTTTTCGAGAGGTTCAGGTTCGAGGCCCAGCGAGGGCATTGCTCGTTTTTCATATTCCTTGCTTCAAAAAATTCTAATGACTCTATAAACCCTTTTCAAAAATTTATTATGTAATATCTGTCTTTAGAGATCTTAGAATTTGATCTCTAAAACCAAATGAATTTTAATTTTAGAATTTTTCTCTAAATATAAATTAGAGATTATTTAATTTCATTTTTCTCTAAATCTAAAAATTTATTTAGATTTAGAGATCAAAATAAATAAAAAAATTCAAATTGAAAATAAATAAAAAATTCAAATTCAAAATAAATAAAAATTAATTCAAAATAAAATAGTTTTTGTTATTCATGGTTTTAAATTGAATTAGTGTTCCTTGGAGATGCACATGGAAAGTTTCTATTATTACAAATCATTATATATACAGGGTGTTTCATAAATCATGGGACAAACTTGGAGGGGTGGTGGAGCGTACTAAAACATGCATTTTTTTATAGGCATGTAGAGACTTAAGTGTCGAGTTAAGTCAGGAATGCAAAAAACGACACGAGAGTACAATGTACAAAATCAAAGCAAAGTGCTTCTTTGCAGCAATACAGTATTCACAATAAAGGTTCAATAAAGGGAACACTAACAGTAATGGGAACTACAGCTGTGATTGGCTGGCAATGCAGCGGTAGAGGGTGGTGGTGAGCCGGATAAAGAACGCTCCGATGCATCAGAACATCATTCGTAACTCTGATGTCGAGCGTAATGGGTGGGTTTACGCACAGGGAAAAAGTTGACATGCATCTCATGTATGGTGCTGCTAATGGGAACGGCAGAGCAGCGCTACGGGTGTACCAGGAACGGTGTCAGAACAGGTGCATGCCGAAGCACACAATGCTCGACATGTTGCATTGGTCTCTGTGTGAAAAAAGGCCATTTGAAGCCACCTCTGACACTAGGAGTGGACGTAGAAGTGCACGACAACTTCGCATTGAAGAATCCATCTTGAACATTGTACATGAATCGCCTCAGACTAGTATAAGAGCTATTGCACGTCGTCTGCAGCTGAGTCATTCCACCATTTGGAGAGCATTTCATGAAAATGGTTTGCACCCATACCATTTGCAAAGAGTCCAAGCCTTGCAAGAGACAGATTACACTCTTCGAGTTCATTTCTGTCATTGGTTCTTGCAATAGTGTGCGGCGCAGGCGGATATCCCATCGGATGTGCTACTCACGGAGGAGACAACTTTCTCACAGTATGGCATCTTCAATAACCACAACATGCACGTGTGGGCAACTCATAATCCACACGGCATACGTTCACATGCATTTTAAAACCGCTTCTCCGTGAATGTGTGGGCGGGTATTGTTAACGATTACCTCAGAGACCCGTATCTCTTACCTGCACGTACAAATGGTTTATGTTAACATATTTTTCTGCAAGAGGTGTTACCCGAATTGCTGCAGGATGTTTCGGCTGTCATTCGTGATCGCATGTGGTTCCGACATGATGGTGCATCAGCCCATAACCCTGTGCGGTTCCGCAATTACTTGGATGGGACATTTTCAGGCCGATGGATTGGCCATGGTGGACTCGTTTGATGACCACCCCGTTCGCCAGATTTTTCCAGCTTGGATTTTTTTATGGGGTCATCTGAGAGCATCATTTAAGAGATTTTCGTTGACTTACTGGAGGACCTCGTTGCACGACTATCCATTGCGGCTGCAAGCGTGCGCGAAATGCCTGTCGTTTTTCAAAATGTTCGTCAATCCCTTCTGCGACGTTACTAGACAAGCTAGTAGTCGCAATTTTGAACATTTATTGTGAATACTGTACTGGTACAAAGAAGCACTTTGGTTGATTTTGTACATAAACATATTTTCCTCTCGTATCGTTTTTTGCGTTCCTGCCTTAACCCGTCACTTTAGACCCTACACTCCTATAAAAAATGCATGTTTTAGTACGCTCGACCACACCTGCAAGTTTGTCACATGATCTATGAAACACCATGTATACATGTGTGTAAATTCTGTAGATAACTTGATGATACTCTTAGACAAATGGCACTGGAACGTGGAAAATAAAAATATTTTACATAGGACAATGGCATTTCTTTTATAAAAATTAAAAATTAATTACTTTCCGGTTTGACGATTGTGAATATATTTATTTTAAATTGCTGAATTTTCTAAATAAATATGAGACGTTAATATCGTTGCTTTACAGTATGGCAATATATTGCTTTTAACAGCCGAGTTTGCCATAAAATTCGCTCAAAATATGACATAAATAAAAAACAAATTCGAAATTCAAAATTCCATCTTCGAGATACGCATATTCGACGGGGGGGGAGGGGATTATGTTCAAAATCTGGTGGGTCTAGGTGTTGCCGTTTTTCTGCAATAAGGGGGAACTCTCTAGAGAAAAAAAAATGATAGTTCTATATTTTGCGTTTTACTGGGTTGTCTGACGAAATTTAGTTTGCGTTTTTCATATTAGATTTATATATAACAATGTTCTAAGATAGACGTTTTGATACAAAATTGGACTTTTCCTGAAATCATACAGCGATGTTTTTCCATATTTCGATTCTATCAAAAATATTGCGCGTAAAGAATTAAATTTTGTAAAAATGGGTGAGAAACTTACTGAGAAATTCAAAAATTTATCTTGGTGCACCTTTTTGAGTTTGCGTCAAGAAGAATTCACTTGGCGATATTCTCAATTTATGGTAACTTGTTTTCATTCCTCTCCATTGTGCATAAGTGGTAAAAAAGATTGCATCGTTTATTTTTTCAAATAATTTTAACAACGTGTAAACCACATTTGGCGATGTTATCGCTTATAATAAATATGCCAAATTTTAAAAAGCGCCTATAAATAAATTTACTTATATCTTGAGGAATTTTGAAAAAAAAATCTCTGTTTTCTTGTAAGTATACCTAGAAATATATCTACATTAAGGTGATGGTAAAAATTTTATTGTTTATAATTAACATTTTTTCGAAAAATTAATAAAAATTACTAAAAATCCAAATAAAAAATTAAATCAGAAAAAATATGCTAATTTTATTTGGATTGAACTTAAATTTCGACTTGTGAAAGATAGAATCAAGTAAGTTTAATGAAAAGAGAGATATTAATAAATATATACAAAATTCTAATTACATTAAGAAACTGAATTATGCAAGATAATTTTTTTAAAACTTCTGCTATGATTTTTACGCATCTTGGCACTTTGACATAATCTGAGCCGTAGAATCGAAATATGTAAAAAAATCGGCATGTAGTTTCAGAAACAAATTGTGTCAAAATACTTATATTAGGAAAATACTACATATAAATCTAATATATATCCTAAGCCGCGCTTAAGAGACATGAAGCATACAAGTTACATTTCGTCAATATACTCAGTAAAACGGCAGATATAAAACTGTCCATTTTTTTCTTTTGAGCAAAATGTACATGTAATATAGATTATTTATTATTTAATGTTGGACATGTGTTCTTAATAATATTTTTCTAATGCAACTTTTAGTTTATACCTCTTTTGGATTGAACTAATCTCAGTTAGCTAATTTGTACCTATATAAGGTGCTACGTATATACTGTGGCTGAATTTTTAATATTAGAATTTCTATAACCTTAAATTTGCTTTACTTGTGAAAGATAAATTAAAATCATATAGCACAAAATCACCAGTCACCTGGATCTAGATGAAACACGAGTTTCTTTCAGAGTATTATTCATTCAAGCAATTTAATTTATTTTAACAGAGGCTAAAAGCTTTGCCTAAGACAGCGATATTTATTCAAACTTCTAATTTACCATAAGTAAAGCTATTCTTACGCTATTATATTAGTTTGGATTATGGAGTATACTAATAGAATTACGCTATTCTATTAGTATACTCCAGGTGTCTTGATTATGGCAAAGCATGCGAGGGCTATGTGCTTAAGAGGAGGGATGCCTTCGTGGAGGACTTTCTAAGGAAAATTGGCTCATATACACGTTACCACATACATAAAACCACGAAAACGCCCATACAGCCAGTCCGTTCGCCGAGATTCAAACAACAGACCGAAATACTACTGTTCAGCCACTTTCGGCTGCTGGTGGGCCCACTTTCGTTCGAGACCATCTTTGTAGTCGTCAAAAGATAGAACCTTTACACAGCAATGCATTGCCTGCGGGAAGGCTAAAACCCTTACATACAGCTATGCTCTTCTTATTTTATAGTAAAACTATTTACGACTTATATTTAAGTTAACTCTAGAGTGATCGAATCTCTTACAGAAAGAAGATAAACAGCAAAGATGTAAATTAAATAATATTTGGTTATTGAAACATAAACATAATTGCCGTAAGTTAATCACCATTCTTTTCTTCTGCTTCACTTTTTTAATTAAATGTTTTTTTTTTTTTTTTTTTTTTATTTAGATGCGAAGAGGAAAACTATTTAATACCTTCTCGCAAGCAGCAGAATCGTGGTAGTATGTATAACTCTCAGAAGGAGGGGAATTGTGAATATTACGCTCACAAGAATCATTTCACCTTTCTCGACAATTTGGAGCTCAGATCTTGTAGTTCGACTGATCAAATCTCCAGGTGTTCTCTGTCATGGACAACACGTTCTGTATCGCAGCTTTGCCAGTCTTACTCAGACCCTGTTTACGTAAATAGTAAGCTGTACAAGAATTTACATTGCGCCGAATGCAATTACGAAGCTTTGACTTCCGCGAAATGTCATCCGGCAATTGTCGAAAATTTGCTAGCTACAGGAATGAATGCCAGAGGAATTTATCAGTTGTGTAAAGAAGAGAAATTTGACGATTGTTTAAAATATATGCACGATTCTGGTAAGGGTAAAGATTTTCGCCTTCGAGATCTCTTCAAAACATATGGCAAAATATGTATTCCAATACCACCTAAACTCTGTTGTGATGGACAAATATACGATCCGCGTTCTCAACGTTGTCGCAAACTTATTCGAGGAAGCTCTAGATACTAATTTGTTAATAAACAATTAGGAAATTCTTACGAACTCAACAAAGAAAGATGAAATAAAGAAAAATTAATTAAAATTAGAGTTCTTAATTCTTTCCAATAACATCTTTTCAGACTCTTTGTTACCTATCTGGGAGCAAAAGATAATTTTGAATAGACATTTTAGTTAAAACAGAACAATTTAGTAGAAAAACATTTATATGAATATGTATAAATATTTATGTACGTTTATAATAAAAGCAAGTTATAGCATCATACAGAAATTCATGATTATAGACCTTTTCCAAATTTATTTATTATTAATAAGTAATTCCATTTTCTCAAACCTTTTTTTAACTGGCAAGTGTTTCCTTAATTGGCATTAATTGAGAATTCCTAAGCATTTAACTAAAATTTATTCATTAATGGAGGTTACTTTATTAAGAATTAACAAAAGTTTCTTTAACATTTAATTTTCTTTAATTTCAGGCAGATTACTGCCTTTCTTAAATGAGGCACAGTACAATATGAGTTAACAGGATAATTAAAAAATAGAAAAAACATGTTGAAATATATTTAAAATAAAGAGAAGTACACTTTTGAATTGAGATGAAATTGTCGAGGCTAGAAAGAACTGAAATGCAACAGTGCGACTGAGATGAAAACTCTTTTAATTTATATTCACATTCCTTGCATCTTCTGCAAATCGGTCTAAATGGTGACCTCAGCTTGCGAAATTCTAGCTATAGATACGCTCCATAGGTGGAAAGTACTCGGAGACTTCTTGCTTCTAGACTAATCTCCGTTGAATTCTGCTTGAGGTAAATACCTCGTATTCACAAAATCTAATATTAAAAGGTAAGAAGGGAATTTACAGAAAAGTGAGGTTGTAAAGAATTTCTCCTTTCTTGCCGTATACTTTCGTGATGGCTGCCCACCTAGTATGGTAACGCTAGTTGCCGTAATTATTTCCGAATCCCGGATTTCATATAATTCTGGTACCAGAATCCAGATCTTCCTAACTTTGCAGTTTCATGGCCGTCGCGTCCCCGAAATCACTCTGATTCCAGTATGATTCCGAAATCTAATGTGTACGAATTAAATACAAGAAACTTGTCAGAATTGAAAGACGCCGTAAAAAGTGAAGTTATACATACAGATTCCACCTGCGATGTGACGATCATTATTGTTGTCAACAGTCTCCCGCATGCAATCTACAAAGAAGGGCAAACTGAAAACTTGTAATTCCAATAAAAAATTTTTCTCTCTCCTCCCTTGCCCTGTCATTGTTCTTTTAGATACACGTTTTTTGTAAATGTTTTACTCCGGCAATTTTCGTGTATCTTTCCAACGCCATTTATGGTTTTTCAATGCGCTGATCGATTTGCGGTCGAAAAAAGGGGTGTTACGTTTCGAAAGTTTAGAAACGTTTTTACTGTAATCGTAACCGCGAGAGCTCTATTGTTTTAAATTAGCACAGTCTTGAATTCATAACTTCATATAACAGTCCTTGAAATCTGATTTCGACTGATTCATCGGATACGCCGCTAGGGGTTCATACATAGGCGAAGTTTTCTTATATCCACCCTATATATAACTTTATTATATTTAGTTAACTGTCTTCATACGACTTGACTCTTGCGGTAAGATATTTGTCCCAGTAATGATCTGAGGTGGGAAAGACATATACCTTAAATTTAAAATACTGCATGCTTTCTTTTTTTCCTTCACTTTTTTCCTTTTTTCTTCCTTTCTTTTATTATTTTCCTTTTTTTAGAGTGAAATTTAGTTCTAAGAGGCACATAATGATCAAGAAAGGCAAAATTACATTATTACGTGCTTCAATATTTAGAGCATTTTAGCTATTTTTAATCTCTAATGTCTCTACAGAATATGTCACGTATTATTTGTATTGTCATTGCAGTTATCTAATATAATATGAAGCAGTATAATTTTCCTAACGCAATAATGAAAGAGGTTTTTCGCTTTAATGCATAAAGGGTAAACGACATTGATATGCTTTCGTGCTCTTTAACACTGACCTTTCTGAGAACGGGAAAGACTTCATGAAAACAAATTATGGGTTGTCCTTGTCGGCAAAATTCGAAGACCATCGGTGCATCTGAACCTGCCTGCGTGTTTCAAAAATAATGAAATTAAAAAATATCTTGAGTGTTTTATATAAAATCAAATAAGGAACCTAATTTCGCAAACAACTGCGTTGCGGTTATGCCACTTTATCGCATTCGCCACCACACAAAAGTACTATTTGTTTCCAAAATCTATCACTTTCATGATAAAAGTGTTAAACTTTCTAAGTTATTAAAAAGGAAGAGTTATTCAGCATTTCCAGAATAAAAATAATAGCTTTTGAAACTGAAATTTCTTTTTTTCCGGATGTGAGGAACTGTCACATTCCGGATGTGTCACGCCATTCGAACGTAGCTGAGTGAGGAATCTTATCTCGAAGATCTTATCGGTCTTAAAATACAAAAAGCCTGGATCTTAATTCAGAGAATTTTTAGAGCTTTAGTGTTATCTGTCTATTAAAGCGATATTTAAATCACTTCATTTACTTAGCTAATATTAGTTTTATGAGGAATATAAAATTAACATTAGCTCGAAAAATCGCATCTTCATTCTTGATTGCGGTAAGTTAATGAAATTGTTTCTTAAGTGTATTTGTTTAGGCTTTAATATGTTAAAGAAAAATGATACATGAAAAGTTAAAAAAAACTATATTGTGTTTCTGCATAACAGAACAAAATCCTTGTCATGTACAAAATTTCAAGAAACTAATTTCCTTTTTATTTTACGCAAGAAAAATGTTAATATGTTCAGCTGAAATTTCGTCTACACTTTTACGCACAATATACGTTTTGAACTACTAATGATGATATGTATTTAAAATTTACTAAATTATAAATAAATATTATACTTAAATGATACTTTGCACATTTTGGCATTCTGTTCTCACAAGAATTTATTCCTTAAATGTAAAATTTAGCTTCAGTTTGTATAAGCTCATCATAGTTTGTATTAGCTTTTGCCTTGGTGTAATCTATTATGGCTATTTCTCGGTCTTTAAGAAATATATTATTCAATATACTAAGCCCTTAAAACGCTTGCTTACAAATACAAGTTCAATAAATGTATCGAGCTGATCAGACACATGAGAACACACGTAAGCTTCCCCCCCTAAAATTCAATTTTGTCACCGCCCCCCTCTGTCTAGTAATGGAATGGGAGAATGCATGTTTAAATGGACAAATGTTTCAACAATTACCTACTTACCAAATTCTTACATGGTCCCTTAGAGACACTGGGATTCAAAGGCACCCTATTACAAGAATCTTTATCTAATGTCCAAAGCTTAAATTTCATTTATAATTATTGGCTGGAGAGCTTTAACTAACGTCCTTTACACTATCGCAGTATTACTTGTGCTAACTTTACTTTATATTATTACATTTGAACTATTACTTATGCTTTTACTTTAAAACAGTTCAGTATCAATTGTTTATTTTTTTTACAATAGGCGCATTATCAAAACACATTTAACTTTTACGATACAATTAAAATAACTCATGCGTATAAAATATTAAAGCTCATTCATGTACTACAATTCAAAAGATTACTTAATTTAAATTTTACAACATATAAACAGTACTGCTAATATCTGCCTTAGAATTGTGCCAAAATTTGTACTCATTACAATCTTTTGTTCTAAGTAAAACAATCGTGTTTAGCACAAAAGTAAAATCTTACAAGACAGATGCATACATTAAAAGTGAAAATTTCTTCGATGAATAAAACTATTCATATATTTCATTCCATTTCATTCATTAAACATAGTTTCGTTTGAGGCAAAATTTAATATTTACACGACACACTTTATCAACAAAACATAAAATAAATAGACAGCTTAAAGAAATAAAGCAAGTTTCCATTTATCTTTTCTTTCTGTGAATCCTCCCATCCGTTTTTCTGAAAACTCCACCCAGGTAGGAAACGTGTTAGATTTCATATCCTGTTGTTCGGTTTATGGCAATCCTACTCGTGTGGCGGCCGCTTGCGTTTTTGTTCACGATCTTTTATTCATATAGGTTTTCGCTAGTCTTGCGGAAATTCAGCATATAGCGGCTATTTCGTTACTGTGTTTGTTTCCGGTAGATGATTTGCCGCAGGTACCCTCTCGCTCGTCTTCTTGAATTTTTGCCGTTCAAATGATTTCTCTTCTGGCGGCCTTTTGAAGCGTAGATTTCGATTTGACTGAGTTGTTGTTTTTCCATTGCTACTAGACTGTTGGCTTTCTTAATCCCTACTTTTTCCCCGCCCTCCTTACTACTCTCGTTGTTTAACACTCGTGTGGTCCCTGCATCTCAGAGTTGTTTTTTTTAAACTTATCTTCGATCCTTGAACAAATGGTGATCTTTGATCCTTGTGGTGCACATAAAAAAGAATGCTTAATTTTTAAAACTTTATTTTCAACTTCCCACCTTTTCTTTTCATTATAAAATTTTCGTTTCGCAAGGGCCATATTCGAATTACTATCTGCCCCTATCCAATAATTTCTGAATGTCTGCCAAGTTGTATTTGTAAACCTCTTTTCCATACGCACTCACAAAAAAAGTTTCCCCAACAGCGTTATACGAGTAAGTTTGTAAGGTACCTCACTTTGGAATTCTAAGTTAATGTTGGAAGTGAGGAACCTAAGAACTGATAAGCGAATAATCGCTAGAGTTCGATGACAATAAACAACAAGAGAGAAGGGTACCTAACCCTTTATTATTTCGATAATATTTAACAAAACTCCGCCTGGGAGTGTACAAGTAAAGCCCGCACTTTGGACTTGAACTTAAAAGACTAAGAATTAAACTAAAAGTAAGATTAACTAAATAAGTATAGCCAAAGCTATCAAGGTTCAATTAGAGTTGACCCCTCAACTTATTTTACTACGAAGCTTAGCAAAGCCTGAGTACGGCCGAGCGTAAAAACAGCTTTGAGAGAGAGAGGCCAAAAAGGCAGACGCGCGTAGTTCAGAAACTCTGATTCTCTCTCTGTCTCAGTAAGTAACTTCGTGGTTTAAATACCGCTCCTTCTCATTAAATATTCAGCAAATTCCAAAACTACGTTCTGACCGGAAGTAGTAAGTTAAGTTAAGAATTTGACAGGAAAGAAACTTAAAATTTAACTGTTAATAAAATTAACATAATTCTTACAAGCTTTCTGCTAAAAATTAATTCAGCTGGTGTCTTTCCTGTTGTATTGTTTTTAGGCGTTCTTAACGAAAATGCTAACCCATTGACGGCCCTATTCCAGTGATGGTGATAATTTATACATAGCTGCGGATAATTTTAACTACATTTCTATTTACCCTCTCTGCAATATTCTACTGTCTTCGAAAGGAACTACCTCAAAATTCTTTATGCTAAAACTCGTATACATTTTAACTTGACTTGTTTTAACTTGATTTGTTGTTTGACTTCTGAATTCGTACACATTTTCTCAAACATTTGACTTAACAAATGATTTCAATTGTTTGAGATTATTTCAATTAGAATTTTATAACATACATTTATTTAAAAATGAGTTTGCAACAATTTTAGCGAAGCTTTTTTGAGGGCAATTATTTCTACCAACTTTGAAAAATGATCAACGATCACTAAAAATATCTATTAATCTTTTTTAACTACGTGGATAAGAATCTAATAGGTAAATTTCTATGATTTTATTAAAGAATATAGCTTGTTTGCTACTTAGGTACCAGAATGGGTGATAAGTAATATTGTTAAGAAACTGACAAATGTTAAAGGACTTGACATATTGCGTTACAACTTTTGTAGCTGTCGAAAATAAATAGCTTTCTTCCTTTCAAAACTGGTTTCTTATTCCGAGAAGGCCTGACATTGGTGCATTGTGTAATTCATATAAAATATTTAATATTAAATTAGCTGGGATAACTGGTCTTAATTCATCATTATTTTTTGTTCTTTTAATATAGAACAGAAGATCAGAAATAATTTCGTAATTTTCAGCTTTGTTTCCAACTTTCTTTACATTATTGTGCATAAAAGAATCGAGCTTTGGAAATATGCTTAGATGTTTTTAATTTATCATCTGTTTGCAGTTCTGAAATAATTGTTCTCTGTTTATCTCAAATTCGCAATTACGTTTTCTTTATCGAGAGTGTGTTTATTAAACTGTGTTCCTTGAATTTAAGAGCCCACCTCAGGAATCTGATAAATTTTGAATACAAGCGTACATAGCC